TTTTTAATATGTCCTTCAAGGATACCCAAACAGCTGTCTGCTAGGCTTCCAAGAAACACACTTTGCCTTAAATTCCAGCTTACAGCTACATCTGAGCTCAAACCTGATGCCCCCTCCGTTTCTCTGACCCATTCTTTACTCAGGATAGTACCATGGAAGTAGAGTTGAAGATGTCTTCTTGATACCACAATAACCCAGAAAGCTCCAGCAGACCCTCACAGGGAGTCTTTGTTTTTTTCCCTCCACACAACAATTCTGGTACTCAAGAGGTCTTATTCACCCCAAAGGAGAAAAAGGTTCTCATACACTTAAGCCATCCCCTCTGGCCTGAGTGGTATCAGTTTAATATCTTTGTCCCAGCTTGTTCCAATCTTTACAGCCCACAGGAACTCAAGGGCACCTTCATTTAAAAGCATTTGCTTTGGGAACAAAAGGTTCAGGAGAGAAAGAGGGTACATGGTACCCAGTCAGGGCATGTTCCAGAAGGAACCACTTAGGAGGCCATTAGGTTCACAGATGCTTGTGAGAAACCATATACTTGACATTTGAGCCATTGTTTTCCTTCTGTGCCCCAAAGCTTTGCTTTCCAACTCTTAACTGCTATCCTTGGGACATGTTTGGGTTCGGGTTGTCTGAAGTGGACCTCACCTGTCAGAGCGGCTGCCCTCCCTCACTGAAGACATGGATGATGTGAGTAGCGTCATGGTACAACATGGTTCATGTGGGGTATATCTGTTTCTGGTCTTGTTTACAGGTGCCATGTGTACGCAGATCACCAGTCCTGTGTGTGCTTCTCCACTCCCTCTTTGCAGTCCCTCTTGTCTGTTTCCATCTCCATCCTCACACTTGCAAACTGAAACCATCTGTGTGGGTTCCTACCTTGCCATCATGTTATACCTGAAACGAAGTCATCCTAAATCTTGTTCTCTGGGTGACCCTGGCTTCCAGCGGGCCAGAATGGAGGCTGGCAGAAGTCTGAGCTTCAATGACAAAGTGGAAACTGTTCTCTGAATGCTGTTGGGTGGCCACAAGGAGGGACAGGTGCAGAAGTGTCTGGTAGGTTGATATGCCAAGAAATAGGTTTGTCTACTTTCAAGAAGCCATGCCCAGGTCTGGTGGCCAGCGTGCCACCTGCAAGCCTGTTGTGGCCATAAAGACAGTTTGTCAGGTGACAGATGGGTTCCAAGACTCCTGGTAATGGTGATGTTACCATCATCACCTGCGCTGAGGGGCCTTGAGGAGCAAGATCAGCAAACAGGAAGGAAATAAAATGTCTCCTACCAGCAGTGAAGATAAGGTTTTTTTTAATAGGGGGCAGGCCTAGCTAAGCTTGCCCCAGAACAAAGAAGTCATTCTTTTCCTTTGCTGTGGGGTGGGGAAGGGGTAGGTAAGTGGGAATCCTCTGACTTACTCAGGAAACCAAGGCAGACAAACTTCCCGTCCTCCACTCTTGAGGGTACTACCCTGGATGGTGATGGCAGGCCACCTGCCACTATGACACTTGGTGTGGGGTGTGCTTGTGATTTTTTTCCTAGGATCTCTCTAGTGGAGCCACCATTTGTGAATGTTACAATAGGTGTGGTTTTATAAAAATAAAAATCCTGAAAACTCCTCAAGACTCTGAGAGGAAGGATGCTGTGTTTGTGCTGTAGCCTGGGGATACATGTTCCCCCATCCTGCCTCCAGCATAGAGAAAATGGCTGGGGTTTTAGGTCTCATGTACCCCATCTGTTTAAAGATAGAGACCAGAAGCACACCAGCAACCGAGCTCATGTGTGACCCCTGTCCTCAGCACACAGGGCCCAGCCAGCCCAAATGGAAATCAATCAATCTCTCTCTCTCTCTCTCTCTCTCTCTCTCTCTCTCTCTCTCTCTCTCTCTCTCGGTAATTCCACTTACGGGGGGTATTTCATTAAAAGAAACTAAAATACCTAGCAACTACCCTTGATAAAAGGCACTTCTCTAGAAAGCATGCCAAGTTCTGTGAAGATTATCTGTCTTAGAGCCAGGCAGATCATCTGGGAATTTTTTGTTGTTGTTGTTTTGACAGGGTTTCTCTGTATAGCCTTGGCTGTCCTGGAACTCACTCTGTAGACCGGGCTGACCTCAAGCTCAGAAATCCGCCTGTTTCTGCCTCCCAAGTGCTGGGATTAAAGTCATGCGCCACCACTGCCCGACATCTGGACATCCTTAGGGGACTGAAAGTCTCCTTTCTGTTTCTCAGAAAAAGAACAGGCATCTAAGAAATAATAAAATAAAATAAAATAAAATAAAATAAAATAAAATAAAATAAATGTTTTAAAAGGGTATAAATCCAGATGAGAGAGGAGGTGGGGAGAAACTGGGAGGGATAAGGGGGAAGGGAAACTGTAATCAGAATATATTGTATAAAAACATCTATTTCAATAAGGGACAATATTCATAAAATATATATCCATTTTCAGTTGTAGGTGTAGAATATGCACAAGAGAGAGAGAGAGTGTGTCATTTAAAAGTTTTTTCCTTATAATGTACTCAAATATGGCTCCTAAAGTAAATGATTTTGCATTTAAAGGAGGAGAAGGAGGAGAAGGAAGAGGAGGAGGAGGAGGAGGAGGAGGAGGAGGAGGAGGAGGAGGAGGAGGAGGAAAAGAAAGGAAGTCTCCTTTTTATGACAACTTCAAAGAAGCCAAAGCGCAGAGGAAGAGGTGGCAAGGAGTTGGTTCTGAATTGACTTGTGAATCCAGCAGATCTCATCAGAAATGGGCTCACCCAGTTGCAATGTATTTCATGATCCTGAAGAATGACGTTTTAAAGTCAAGGTACTTTTAGCAGATCTGAGTTTGTTTTCCAGCCCCCACACAGGGTGGCTCACAAGTGCCTTTAACTCCAGCTAAAATGGATCAGATGCCCATTTGTGCCCTCCACAGTCTCTGCACTCATATATACAAACCCACACTCTGACGCACACAGAATCATAACTTTCTTTAATTTTTTTAAGTTAAAATTTAAAAAGACAGCATTGTCTTCACACTTCAAATTTAATGTGAAGATAGACTATTATTTTCAAATAAAAATAGTTCTTTATTTCATCCAGACTTGCTGTCTAGGACAGCTCAAGGGTTTAATAACATTCAGATGATTTTGTATATCTCTGTATATTTTGAGAGGTATAAGGCATTTGCTTAGTTTTTGGAGGTGCCAAAGATGAGGCCAGAGCTTCATATATGTTAGGCAAGTATCTTATCACTATGGTATATACTGAGCTATATTCCTTTGGATTTTTTAAATAATAGATTGGGAGTGGGGTACATAAATAGTTTTACTTATTCTGTAATGATTTTGAGACTGGAATTGCAAACTTCATAGACAGCTTATTGCGTTGGGACACTCTAGGGAACTCCACCAGGTGAATGTTTTCATACCAAGCTCAGAACACAGCCTCACTGTCTTTTTCGGGGCACTGTGGATACTTTAAGGCTACAGGATGAATTTTTTAGCACACCATTCTTCATAAATGTTCACTTCCATGATTAACATTTCTAAGATATGTTTTATTTTTAATCTTGGGTATGTGTCTATGTGAGTACATGCCATATAAGTGGATACCCTCAGAGTCCTGAGGCATTAGATCTTCTGCAACTGGAGTTACAAGTGGTTGTGAGCCACTTGATGTCAGTCCGGGGATCGAATTCACATATGAACCAAATTTCTACCCAGTTTGTGCAGCCAGTAATTTCTTTTAAACTGTGTGCTGAAGTTGACATAATTAGATTTTCCCATAACATAAACACACTGACTCTGCTTCGTTTATAAGCTGTGCTTAGATGTGAACCTTAAAATCATTGTTTTGTTCTCTTTGACTTTATGACAAGTCGGGTTATAATTTTAAGCTAAGAAATGGATGCTAGCTAGTAACTAAGTTTATCAAGCATTTTCTTGGTTTAAAGATGGATGTCTCAACATAAGAATTCATTTGAAGACAGAGCCATTTAATTAAGAGGAAAAAAAAAACAAAAAACAGTGGAAGGCCACAGGAGTAAAATCTCATTGGTAAAATGAGTGAGTCTACTTCTGTGGTCATATACTTCTCCAGGAAAGAACACACAGCTGACTACTTTAAGAGCACTGTGGAGGTTAAATAAGATAGGAGTTCTTGGCCAGGCCCAAAGACTTGCTGGCTGGGACTAGTCTGTCTGGAGCCAGGCTGACTGGGGCCAGGCTGGCTGGGGCTGGGCTCCACTACCAGGTCTCCACAACACAAGGAAGCCATAGGACAGCTGCCCCTTGGGCTCAGAGCCAAGAGTGCTGGCTGGCAGTCGGGGGTCAATATGAGTACCACTACCTACCAGTGATCTAAGGTCATCCCAAAACACTGTAATCTGTAAAATAGTCATGGGAGGGAAAAGGCTGTTGTTTTCCTTAGAAACAAAGGAAGGGGTGCCTGAGAGTGGACAGGAAAGGAGGGGATGAACTCACACAGCACCAGGATGATGAAAGCTCTATGTGAGTTGGGGAGGGGCAGCAGGAGGGGACATGTGTCCTTAAAGAACTCTGGTGCTGCTGGCCTATGGCGATCTGCTTCTCCCAGAACACGAGAGGCAGCATGAGATATAAGTTTAGTTGGCTATGCCCATATCCCCAGCCTGTGGGATGGACTGTGCTTAAAGACCTGAGGCCTCTCAGTCTTATGAGTGACAAAGCAATTGAAACACCCAAAACACTTGCAGATTAAAAAGCATGGACTGATCACTCTTCACTTTCAACGTTCCAAAATCTGAGTTTTCAGAATGTTATCCCGGTGACACAGGCAGGAAGCTGAAAACGATTAAAATCCATAATCTTTGAGACTCAACCATTTCAGACAAATGTCCCTCTGCCTGAATGCTTTTCGAAGTCAATAATTGTATTTGGCTAAATGTGTATAATCATTAGGCCAGGAAAACAGAAGGCAACCTGCTGCTTCCTTTTGCAATCCAGCAAAGTCGTGTGGGTTACTGAAGGTCAGGTGGGGTAGACGACTGATAACCAAAGAGGAAGTCCTGGTTCCCCAGTGGCCTGTGGGTGTTCTGTCCCCTCTTATACCTTTATGAACAGTAAGCACTGATTGACTATGGGCTTTAGCTTAATCAATTTCATCTATCTGCAGGCAACAGATCTTGGAGGATTTTATCAGTCAAGCAAAGTCAACAACAGACTGACTCCCATCTCAGAGGCTCTGACCTCACCTCTGCTCACCTCTCTATGATCTCCAGGTAAGCTTGGGTATCTCTGGCAACTGGTAGCTTTTGCAATGTTCCTGTTTACCTGCTTTATCAAGAAGGGGGCAGGGTGACAGTGCTTTGCAGGACATTAATAAAGATAAGAGAGGCCATGGCTACCAAACAGAGTTTTCAAAAGCCCTTCCTTGGTTTCCCTGGCTGCAGGGCTGCGTGTATAGACACACAGATCCATCCATGCGGGAACTATTACTGCCATCCGATTACTGTCATTGTAATGTCTATTCAGCTGCCCCTTTGTACGTTCCTAGAGGGCAGGGACCGTGTCGTGGGCTGCTTTTCATGAATTCATGCTTTCCTGCTTCCATTCACTCACCCTACAAACATTTATTGAGTGCAACCTTTGCTGGGTCTGCCACAGTGCAGAGGACACAAGACATATCACCTCCCTGTCCTTGGCAGCATGACCTAGCCTGGCTGTCAGCCATCATCCATCCTAAGCAATGGATCCCTAAATAAGGCACAGGCTGCAGAATCTGCAGCCATCAGAAAGCCACAAGGCAACAGGTGGTATTTTCTTCCATCACCACCTTCATTTCCTCCAAATTTCTATGTATGTACACCGAGGTTTCTCTTTTAACAACATTCCAATAGATTCTTCTTTCTAAGCCTACTATTCTAACTTTCATTTACTTTTACCCCATCAATCAGCTACTCCATTTGAATCATGTAGGGAACATCAAGATACTAACACACACAAGGACTCCTGAAAACTGAGATTACTAAAATCTTGTCGGGGTTGGGGGGGCAGGCAGTCACCCAACACAGGACAAAGGGCTCCAGGCTCAGAAGCAGGAATTCTTCTCAAGTCTGATTTGTGGGGGGAAAGGGCAGGAGGCAGGATGAAGGGATTGTCTTAGCTTCCTGTAGCTCCCTGTAGCTCCTATTCTAAACCATGTTTCCCATCTGCTCTCTGCAGTGACTTCAAGACCCACTTGGGTCAATACCTTCCTGTGAGTTCTGGACCTCAGAAGCATCCTTTGCTGGTGTTCTCAGAACACAATTGGAAGCTATGGTCCTATTTAGGCTTCAAGACTCCAGCCCACTATAGAAGACTTCTGCCTTGAAATGTACTCTCTCTCTCCCTTGTGACTTCTGAAAGTTCAACCATCCCTACTTCCTGGGATCCAGTTCCTCAGTCTCTGCCTAGAGATCAGTCTTCATTCTGTTCCCTTCAGTGTAAGGTGCTCACCAGTCCACTCTGTCCTATCTTCCTCAATGTCCTTGGAAATAATTCCAGGTACTACTCTATTATTTTAAAGTCTATGCTACCAACTGCACTGCTTTCCTATGTTCCTATGTTAGAATTTTTATTTGCTCGGAAACAATAAATAGTTTTAATGCTAATTTTGAAGGCTGTGTTAGAATTTATAACCCTATCTAACTTATCATGAAATCAAGCATAGTGACAGAGACCTGTAATCCCAGCATTTGAAAAGCTGTGTCAGAAGAGAGTGATGAGTTTGAGGTCAGTGCAGGTTGCATATGCTGATATTCTGTCTCAAAAGAGAAGAGGATGAGCAGAAAGGGGAGGAGGAGGAAGAGAAGCGGGAGAAGAACAAGAAAGTAGAAGAAAAAGAAGAGAAAAATAAGAAGGAAGAGGGCGAGGGAACAATGCAACCACACTATTGGGCACCAGCATTCTCAGGCATATGGAGGATTTTAAGAGATGCCATGAGGGCCTGCCCAAGAACTGACAGGTCATTTCTGACAATACCAGAGGCCACAACATGCTCTTGTCTTTGAAGTTCCCCATAAATGTTTTATGCAAACAATGATGACTCCAGGAAAGTACAAGTCAAAACTACAACACAGTTGGTCCCACTTCCTTTCCACTATGATAGCCCTGAGTGGTTTTTTTTTTGTTTTTGTTTTTTATAAATATTCTTTTTTTAAGATTTATTTATTTATTATATATGAATACACTGTAGCTGTCTTCAGAAACACCAGAAGAGGGCATCAGATCTCATTACAGATGGTTGTGAGCCACCATGTGGTTGCTAGGATTTGAACTTAGGACCTCTGGAAGTGCAGTCAGTGTTTTTAACCACTGAACCATCTCTCCAGCCCTCCCTGAGTGTTTTTGAAAGGAACATTTTAGCAAGAATATGGAGATATTAGAATGAGTGAACCATGCTAGACAGAAAGCAAATGGTGACAGCTATGGAGGGAACAGTTGGGCAATATCTCAAAGGTTTTCACATAGAATTGCCATATGTCTCTGCAATTCTACTCCTGGGCACTGTTCACTAGAGCTGAATGGAGGAAACAACCCAAGCACCAATGGATGAATGTGATCATGAAAAGCACAGACACACAGACACACAGACACACACACACACAGACACACACACACACACACAGACACACACACATGAAGATGCACTTAACATTCTATTGCCTTTTAAAACATATACTGCATGCTAAAATTAACAGTAAATAATGGTAGGAAAACATGCATGAATTCCACTTTCCTGGCATTCCCAGTTGTGACCGTCAGTCTGCCAATACATTTCCAAACTGAATTTCCTTTGCCTGGAGATTCTGAATGGAGATTCAAGAGGTTCTCTCGTTTCTGGTTTTGTCTAAATTCTTTCCTTCATGCCCAACTTGAATTAAGCTTGTCAGGATGCTTTTCTCTAAAAGGAGACTATTTTCCAAATCTCTAGAAAGAGATCTGGGTACCTATTAATACATTCTTTTTATTCATCCTGTCTACTCTTAAGCAGAACTGTGTTTAGAACACAACCATGGTACAGGTCTAGTGAACACAGGCCATCATAGACTACTGGCTGGAGGAACGGCAGTGGATACATCTTTTGGAATAAACTATACACTCTAAGCTGAAATGTTTTCAACTACACACATATCAATGAGTCTACTTGCTATCTGTCTCTGGTCAAACCCAGTTTCCTGGATAGATAATTAAAGTCTTCTACTGGGAGTCAGTCCCAGGGAGGCCACAGCAGGAAGCAACTGGGTTGTCATCCCAGTTTGTCTGAGGGCTAGGATTGAAGGTCCATTTCAAGGATGTCTCTGTCACCTGAGCTGATGCCTCCAGATAACATTATGAAGGTGTGTCTGAGACAGCCACAGTCTCAACCTCAATTCAACATCTCAAAACAGAAGCTGGGGTCTGCAAAGCCATCAACAAAGCAGGGCAGATAAAACAGGATAAAGAGAGAAATGGACTCCTTAATGTGAATGTTGTTTTAGTGTTCTGAAGATTAATTTTATTTTTAACTATGTGCATGTATGTGTTTCTGTGTGTGAGTATGTGCATGTGAGCACAGGTACCCATGGAGACCAGAAGAAGGCATTGGGTCCCTGGAGCTGGAGTCACAGATGGCTGTGAATCACCAGTACTGGGTACTGGTAATCATACCGGGGTCCTTTGTGAAAGAAGTAAGCATTGTTAACCAATGAGCCACATCTTTAGCCCCAATTTCTTAACAATATACTTTTAAACAAAAATTTAACTGTTACCTATCTATTGTTTTAAAACGGTAACAGCGGGCAATTTCATGAAGTCATACATGTGAAAACATGGATATGCCAGTGACAGTTTTAGGTCTATGAAAACATTACACTCAAGTGGGTCAGCCCAATATTTAGATATCATAAACCTATAAACTCATGACAATGTCTGAATTACACATTTTGATAGGAAATATTTTATATATCTGAGAGAAAGCAGGAAAGACAGAGCAAACCCCAAAGAAGATGAGGAAGAGCTTGGCTTTCACACGTGCTAACAGTAAAGAGAGACAGGCAGACACCAGTTCCCCTTTCAAAGATGGCAGGTGACTAAAGTTGCATGGTAGGACACACCACATTTAGGGTAGTTATGAAACTGATAACTGATAAGGATGAGGGGTTCACTTGCTGTTGAACGGATGACAAGCCTTCGGGAAGGGGACAGGCGTCAGACAAAGCGGTGGGAACAGGTACAAGACAGATGGCTTGTTAAATATTGCCAGCATGCTCGCGCAGTGCCATGCGGCGGTCAGAGCTGGGATAATGGTCACAAGGGCATTGTGCAGCAGAGCGTCAGCTAAGTTCAGCCGGCTAAAGCTGTTGCTTATCTTTGTTGGTTTTGCAAAGATTAGGGTAGTTTCTCAGCTTTGAATGCACTCCAGCTGCCCAGCAAAGCATTCGTGGAGTCTTGTCTGGATTCTCACTGCTGAGAGGGGCCGTGTAGATATTGGCACATGTACAGACTTGTTTTGATCCCAGCAAAAAGACTTTTCAACCCATCAGAACCAGTCTTCATTCATTCATGCAGGCAAAACACTATCGAAGAGCAGTGGCCTTCTTAGGAAACATTGTCCTGTGGTCTTCAAAATGCACCTGTCATGGACTGATATTTCCTATTAGGATCGATCCATTAGCTACTCTTGCAGGAAGGGGTAAAGCCCCATCGTAAATTCCATCCGGTGAATCATAGGGAGGCAGTGGCTCAAATTAAGGGTATTTGCTTTAGGAAGGAGCCTTCAGCTTCTTATCTTTATGTACAGAAGAAAATAGATCTCAGCCGCCTCACAGCCGATGGAACTCACCTGGCCAGTCAGCTGCTGAGGCCCAGTCCCTGCTACCTCTGGCTCCAGCCTGTTCCTCTCTGATGTTTTCAGGCAAGGGGGACAAGTAGGGAATGCAGAGTCCCTTGAGTTGTGCCTGCAAACCCAAAGCAAACTGGAAGGTTCAGCCATGGGCTGGGTATGTTAGGGAAGAAGATGGATGACTTAGGCAATTTGGACAGGTCACCTGAATTTATCTTTTTTTTATAGGTAATGCCTAGCTAGCAACTCACCTTACCGTGTTTACCTTTGACATTCTTCTCTTTAACAAGATCATTTACACATTTTGAGATGCTTGCAAGCACACACACACACACACACCTTTTGAACTAAACAATGATTTATCCTGTTGGACCTGGCCTCTCTACTTATCCCTACTTGTCATTGGGCATTTGACACAGAGTCAATTCCTGGGCAGCTAAGCTCTGAGCATGTGTCTCTAGGAAATCAAGACCTTTTCTTCTCTAAAGAGATTTTTGTTGAATTGTTGAAGAAAACAAACCAGAGGGGCCAAGCACTAAATCTCAGTGTTACAGAATTTCTGGAATAGAGAAGAAAAGCAGAGGCTGAGAATCACACCCCAGCATTTTTACACCATTTTAGGAGAAAACTACCCACATCCTCCATGTCTTATTTTTGTTACTTTCCTCTAAACATTCTGGGTGTGTTCTGGGTCTCCAACTCACACAGACAGCTCCTGGGTGTCCTTCCTGCTCAGCTTGGATTTGGGTTGGATCTGTGGATGCTCTGCTAGGTAAGATTCCTGTGTTTCCTGTCAATTTCTTTTCTTTGGATTCCTCCAGCCCCCTGGCTTTCAATTGTGTCAGTGTTCACACCTTCTCATTTTAAAATGTATTGGTATACCCAGTGCAGTGACACTCATCTGTCATCGAAGCCTCAGGAGACAGAGACAAGATCTCCAGTTTGAAAGAAGCCTGGGCTATACAGCAAGATTATGTAAAAGACCAAGGCCAACGACCTTCCTACAGCCAAGCCTGATGAAAGATGGGGCTTGCAAAGCATGCCTAAGACCCTGGGTTTGATCTCTGGCATTGATTTAAAAAGATAGACAGAGACTTAGACAGACAGACAGAATTTACTTTTCCTTTGCCTCTTTCCTTTTTAAAATTTAAATTGTATTTAATCATTTAATTTAGTTTTTGAGGCAGGTTTTTACTATGTAACCCTGACTATACTCGAACTTGCTGTGTAAATCAGGCTGACCTTGAAGTCACAGAGATCTGCGGGCCTCTACTTCCTAAGTGCTTGGATTAAAGGTGTGTCTGCTATGCTAAACCTCATTTTCCGACCCTGTCAAATGTGTTCGGTATGCCTTTAGGACTTTGCTTTTTATCATAGCTTAGTTAATGTTAATATATTCAAATTTATTCAAGACTTTAAGGGCCACTTTAGCAACAGATCAAAAAGTTCAACAGTTGACAGTTCTTTCCTTGCTGAGTTCTAAGTATTTTTGCAATATTTTTAAAATTTCCTCCCCACTCCAGTGACCTTATAAAATTATATATTATAGTTATTTGGGGCCAAAAGACAGCTGATTTCTTTTGAGTGTGTGTGCACATAGGGGGAGGGAAGATAACTGGGTGCCTTCATCAGCACTGTTCATCTTT